CAGAATTACAGGCATGCGCTACCATGCCCAGCTGATTTTTGGATCTATTGTAGAGATGAGGTCTCGCTGCCCAGGTGGGTCTCGAACTCGCGGGCTCAGGCAATCCACTCACCTCAGCCTCCCAAAGCGGGATTACAGGCTGAGCCACGGATCCCAGCTCCGTTAATATCTTATTAGTTACTTCTGTCATATTAAATATTCTTCAAAATTAGCTTTTAATGGCCATTAGTATACTACTTTATAGATTAAACTCATGTATTCAATCTAACCCCTGGCTGGGTTATTGTTAATTTTTTTCTCCTATATATTTTTTCATTTTATTTTTTCAATTTAATTTAATTTTTTTTGAGTTGGAGTCTCACTCTGTCACCCGGACTGGAGTGCAGTGGCATGCTGCTCATGGCCACTGCAGCCTCGACCTGCTGGGCTCCGGCGATCCTTCCGCCTCAGCCTTCCAAGTAGCTGGAACTACAGGTATGCGCCACCACATCTGGCTAATTTTTTGATTTATTGTAGAAATGAAGTCTCACCAAGTTGCCCGGGCTGGTCTCGAACCCATGGGCCCAGGCAATCCTCTCACCTCAGCCTCCCAAAGTACTGGGATTATAGGTGTGAGCCACCATGGCCAGTCTATTTTTTCATTTGAGAAGATATCTCTTATTTTGATCACTAAAATGAGATGAGACATAGCCGTACATGGCTCAGTCCCCCAGGTTTATGGCCTATTCTGTTGCCCCTCAAGCCCAACCTAACTCTCTCTTTTCTTCGCAGAAAATGAATGGCATTTGTAACAATTAGACCTTGGCTCAAATGCTAGCTCTGGTTTTCGTTTGCTGTGTACATTGATCTTACCCTGCCTTGGCCTTAGTTCTTTAGTTGATAAGATAGACAGTATGACATTTAAGTGAGAACACAGTGACTGATGCAAGCAGACATACAAAAATGCCAGATTCCTCCAAATTTGACATAATGCTCCTCTTAAAAGTATTTGTTTGTTTGTTTGTTTGTTTTGAGTTGGAGTTTTACTCTGTTGCCCAGACTGGAGTGCAGTAGCCGCTCCGGCCACCGCAGCCTCGACCTGCTGGGCTCTGGCGATCCTTCGCCTCAGCCTTCCAAGTAGCTGGAACTACACATGCGCACTACCACAACCGGCTAATTTTTTTTGGGGGGGGATTTATGGTAGAGATAAGGTCTCGCCAAGTTGCCCAGGCGGGTCTCGAACCCACAGGCTCAGGCAATCCACTCACCTCAGCCTCCCAAAGCGCGGGATTACAGGCTGAGCCAACCGAGCCCGGCTGTCTCCCAACTCTTAATCTGGAGGAGGCTCTCCATCCTCTGGCCTCCTCCCTCAGCCTCCATCCCTTTCTCACTAGCCATGATGGCCTCTGAATCTTTTATATGTCCCATTCCCACATTCCATCCCTATACCTGTCCCATCCAGACTTGCTCCAGCATCCCCATTGGGAGAGGAAGCCCTCGCCAGGGGCCCTGCTCTAGGAGACATGCTGACAGACTAGGAAGTGTGCTAGGTGGCCCCATGAACAGTCACTGACCACGATACATTCTAGAAGGGGCGTGGAGGTTTAAAAAAAAAATTGGCTGCAAGTTCTCTATCAGGACTCCTTTGAGAGTCTACGTCTCCTCGCCTTAATCTGAGTGGGCTGCTTTGACCCACAGAGTCAGGCAGTAGTAATGTTGGGTGATTGTGCACACTGAATCAGGCAGCCTCATCCTGGTTCTTTCAGGACACTGTGAGGAAGCTTTAGCCACTCTTGCAGAGGCCAGGTGGAGGTGCTCCAGTCCACAGCCCGGCAGGGTCCAGGTGCTGGGCGTGCAGGTGGGGGAGCCTGCAGCTGGATCTAGCTGAAGCCTGGACCTCGTGGGACAGAGACAGGCCATCCCTGCAGCACCAGTGGTTTTATACCCCTGAGTTAGGTTGGTTTGTGATGCAGCAGAAGGCAAGCAGAATGAGGATTTTGTGATTTTCCCTATCCCTGGTCACCGTCCCTTTCTCAATGCATGCCTGCTGGAACCTGTGAGAGGCCAGGGGTTGTGAAGGCAGTGCTGCTTTGAGTTTTTCTTGGGGTCAGACCCTAGATGCACTGTTGACTTTGCCCCTGTAAAAACAACGGGACACAATTAGAATCAGGGAACATTTGCTATGACTCATCTGCCTCACACCAAACCACTACACACACCCAGGCCCCAATACTATTTGAATCTGAGATTTTGGTCACTAGATGGTGTCAAGTTTCTTCTAGCTCTGGCAGCCAGTGAGGATCTCAGTTTGGGTAATTCAGGAAGGCTGCATGTAAGAGGCAGAATCTGAACTGTAAAGAATAGGTAGAGTTAAAACAATTGTGTTATTTTGCTTATTTATATTAAAATATTGTATTACAATAGTTGTATTAATTGATTGTATTAACTTTAAAATACTATGTATTTATTATATATTGAAAATAACACCCACTTCTTGTAGAAATATTTGACAGAAAAAGTATAAAAAAACCCAAAACATATTCTTTGTAATCTCAATGTCTGGAATCACCATGGCTGACCTGTTGGTGAATTTCCTATGTTTCTACCATGCAACTCCGACCAGATTGCAACCTTTGGTAAACTTTCCTTGTGACGCAAGCAAGGCAGAGACCAGTTGACAGAAGGGAGAGATCCTGAACTTGGTGTGGTGGCTTGTGTCTGTAATCCCAGTGCTTTGGGAGGCCAAGGTATGAGGATTGCTTGAGGCCAAGAGTTCAAGACACGCCTAAGCAACACAGCAAGACCTCCATTTCTACAAAAGTAAAAAATAAATAGCTGGGCATGATGGCATGCGCCTGCAGTCCTAGTTACTTGTGAGGCCGAGACAGGAAGATTGCTTGAGCTAGCTCAAGACTGCAATGAACTATGATTGTACCACTGCACTTCAGCGAGACCCTGTCTCTTAAAAAAAAAAAAGTGGCAAGAGATCTCACCACCAGCAGAAGAGCCCACGTTTGGGGTATGTGGCTACCAAGGAGGGTACCAGCTCAGTGCCCTCCATGCCCAGAGAGGGTAAGACTAGGCATCTCCAGCCCAAGACTACTCCTTCCCTGCCCTTGCATGGCCCTCACCAACAGGGTTATCTCAGCAGCTCCTCCTGCCACCTGGGGCCCCACACCTAAGGCCATCCACACTAGAACAACTTGGTGCAAGGTGGACTCTGCCCTGTTGGGTAGGAGCAGCCTTGAAGGTGGTGCATCCTTCCTGCCACAGACTTTTCTTGACTCTGAAGTCCCCAGGCACAAAAAAATCTCAGGACAGTGTAAATCTATCCAGACTCAGGACAGTGTAAATCTATCCTCAGGAGGGCAAAGGAAGCCACTTCTCTAAGCATGCTGGGGGCATCCCGGCTGTCCGCCCAACAGATGTCTGGATCAGTCTGAATCCTGGGCACCAGAGAGGAAGTGAATTCCCTTCATCAGCGACCTCAAGAGCTTCCAGCGGCCCTCCTCCACCCAGGGACAAATTCTTCCGTCCACCCAAGAATGTTTGCAACCCTCCCAATGGCAGTTTCCCAAGATCAGCCACTTGAATGTCCTTTCTTCCCTTATACAAGGAAGACCTGTCCCTTGCTTGAAAGGATGGGGTGAGTGAGCCTTTGATCTCTGGAGAAGCTTGAGGGGTGGCAGGCAATAGCGTTTCCCTAGGGGGTTGTCCTCAGCGAAGAACTGGACTCAGAGCTGGTGCCTCCCACGGACACGGCGGATTGGCGTTTCTCTTGGGATGACGCATCTGCTTCTCTCTGTACGGGGATGTGGGAAGCCACTCAGGGAGGAAAAAAACAACACCAAAAAAACAAAAACAGCCTTTAAAAATATATATTTATTTATTTAGAGACAGAGCTTTGCTCTGTTGCCCAGGTTGGAGTACAGTGGCGCGATCACAGCCATAGCTCACTGTAACCTCCAACTCCTGGCCTCAAGCGATCCTCCTGCTTGGGTCTCCCATAATGCTGAGACTACAGGGGGAGCCACCGTGGCCCCCCAAAACTAGCCTTTTGTGGCACTTCTCGTTTGCAAGCTTTGCCATGGGTCCGGGGCAAGTCTGTCTTGACTTCGGTTGGGAGACACGGCCCCACTTTCCCAAGCCCCCTCCGTCACTCCCCCAACAGTCAGGCCAACGAGGCTGCAGCTCTGACCTCGGACCGAGAGCACGTTCAGCCAAGGCCAGGGAACTGAGCGAGATCCTGGGGCACACCCCCCCACCTTCCAGGTACAGCCGCCCAGCCGGAGATGCCGCGGACTGCGGACCCTCGGCTCCCAGCCTGCCTTGCTGCGAGGAGGCCACGTGAGCAGGCGCAGCCAATCAGAGCTCGCCCTCCGCTCCTGGGCTCTGTGGGGGGCGGGGGCTGGGCAACAATGGCGGCGCTTTCGCCCTTGTGGCTCTGTGGAGTGGTCTGTGGCTTGGGGCTCTTTCCCCGACTGTGCAGCTGGCCGGCCGGAGCGTCCCCCGGTGACTCAAGATTCTCTAAAAATATTCCGGTTTTGGCTTTCCACGACCCGGGCTGGCCTCCCCGCCCGTCTCCTTCCACGGCCTGCGCCTCCCGGGGCTTGTACGGGGCCGCAGGGCATCGGGCGGCCGTGGTTTCCTGGCCGGCGACGTCCTGTTTTTAGGAGAGCGCTGCACGCCGACGCGACGCCCCAACTGCCCCCGGCCCCCCACCAATGGCAGGGCGTGGCAGCGGCGCACGGCCTTGCTCCCAGCACACCCCGCCACAGCCCCCAGCGCTTGCCGGCTTCGCCAGGCCTCCGCCGTGTCCTCATTTTTCATTCGCGTGCTCCCTTGCTGTTGCTTCTCGTCCTTCCCTTTCGGTTTTCGACTGTATCCGCTGGCTTCCTCCTGCGGAAGGTGAAGGAGGATTTCGTTTGTTTCTGCATGGAAGCCTACACTTCGCTTCGGCGAGCTCCCGATCTCATTTCATCACAGTTTTCGGATGCCTCAGTATTTGGTGTTTACAGTGTGTTGGTCGTGTGAACGTTGTTCCCGGCTGAGCTGTGCCGTACATTATGACAACATTTTCTATTTCGTGTTATTTGTTTTCCTGGGAATTCATGATTGCCTGTTTTCTTGCATCAAGCTGGGCACTCAGTGGATCCTTTCAATCTGGAGACTCATGACCTTGGGTTCTGGGAAGCTGGAAGGCACAACTGGTTTTACAAACTCTTAACTCATTTGGCTTCCATCCCTACCGGCACACCCTCCCCCGGGCCCCGTGACCTCCTAAGCTGTTTCTGGGTGGTGGTGGGGGGCTGTCATGTTGGTGTCTGGCCTCAGATCAGCTCCTCTTCCTGCAGAATTTGGTTTCAGCTTCCTCCACTCTGCCTAGTTGGTTACTATTAACTTTCCAGCTTCAAAAATTCTGTAAACTTCTCTTATCCCCTGTCATTGTCCTGTACACTTTGTCCTTATTAATTTGTGACTCAAAATATTTTAATTTTACTATCATTTTAGTGGGAATTTGGGAAGAAGGGGAGAAAAATACCCCCCGTTCAGTTCATGGTGGGCTAGCAGTCCCTCTCACCTTTTCTCGCTGAGCACCTACTATGTGCCACAGGCTATTTTAAAGTAGCTCCTAGCCCCAGTTTTACATGACTCTTTCTTGTTACCCAGGACTGGGTGTAGAAGACACCTCCTCCAGTTAGGCCTCCTTGACCACCCGATGCTTCTCTGCTACACCACCCTGCTTTACTTTTGTGCATAACCCTCACTACTATTTGCAATCATATATATATATATATATTCATTGATGATATATTTTCCTTCTTTCTCAGGCTCCCCCAGAGGGCAGGAAACTGTCTGTCTTGCTCTTTGCTGTATCCTTGGTGCTTCCCACAGTGTCAGGTATAAACAGATGCTCAGAAAGTACAAGATGAATGAAGGAGTGGTCTTGAGCATAAGAACTCCATGACGCTACCTTCAACATCACTTAACAAGAAACTGGTAATGGTTTGAGCTTCCTGCCATGAGAGAGTGAGACTCCATCATGGGAGGAATGTAAGCTCAGGCTTAAAACAGCTGAAAAGGGACAGAAGCATTGACAAGAATGAATGGGGTGACTTACAAGACCTGGCTGAGACAAACCGTTGGCTCAAGGTCACTCCGGTACTTGCTGGCTCAGATGAGAAAACAAGCCTTTGCAGGCAGACACATCGAGCTGCACCCATGCTGTGGAGTCAGTCCCACCTGGGGGTGTTTCACCCTCTTCTGTCCCTGGCTGCAAGTTGCTCTGTCTCTCTGTATTTGCAAGACTTCTCACCCACAGTGTGGGAGAACACTCCTACCTCTTGGATTCTAGAGAACAAGCACAAGCCTTCTAGTAAAAAGCCCGATGCAGAGGAGGCTGTGATGATGATGGTCTGGTTTGAAAAATTCTGGTTTCATTCTTCCTGGCTGTAGGACCTGGGCAAGCTGCTTGAAACCTTGGGCCTCAGTTTCCTCCTCTGTAAGGTGAAGATCTAACCACACTGGCTTCACTGGGTCACAGTGCCAATAAATGCCTGTCCCTTGGCCTGTCTCCTGCTTCCTGGGCAGGAAAAGTCACACCTGAGGACTGTGGGGACAGAGCAGCATCATGCTGAGGCTCCTGGGACCCCTGGACTGGTGTATGGTGTGGCCACAGTGTCTCTGTGGGACCCTGCAGGGAATTGGGCAGGCCAGACCCATTATAAGCAAAGAGCTGGCTTCTTTCCAGAGAGCAGTGAAGGAGCTGAAAGGCAGCTTGTTTTGCTCAGAAGCAGGGTGTTGTAAACTGTTTTAATGGAAGCAAGAGCAGGAAAGGGCAGGGAAAACTGTCTCCATCTGACAGACCAGAGTTTGAACAATTTCCAGCGGCTTTGGACGCGTTCAAGCACCTCTCTGAGCCTCAGCTTTCTCATATATTAAATGGAGATGATAGTAGTAGACACCTTGCTAGGGTGTTGTGAGTTTTCCTCTATTCCACAGGTAGGTGCTAGCTGGACACCTCCGATGTTCGGGGGACATTGCAGTGGTCAAAACAAAGGCACTGCCCTCTGCATGCATCATGGTGAGTCCATGAGACGATGTGCCTTGAGGGACCAGCACATCACAGGAGCTGTGGAGGCAGAACTTGCTTTTTTGCTAGTAGTGTATGTCATTTGTATAAATTCATCTTTTAATATTCGAGAGTGGTGACAATCTAAATAAAGTAGGCAAGCCTCCCTCAAGGTTTTCTCCTCTGTGTTTTGCAACTGCAGAATCTGCCCTGAGCGGGAGATGCCCAGGAAGAATATGTTGCCTGCCTCTAAGCCTCATTCTCATTGCATGGTCGATGCTGGTCCCAGAGGAACCAGCCGCTTTGGAGCTTTGGAGCTTCATCAGATCAATGAGAGAGGCAGATGGGGATGCAGCCACTGATGAAGCAGGTGATCCATGGTGACAGGGTCCTGGGTCGGGGCACTGGGCGGGTGGTGTCAGGGAGGGCCTCTCATCCTAGTTTTGGGCCTTCAAGGAGCGGAGCAAATGTGTCAGGTGGGAAGACAGGGAAGGGCATTCCTGGCTGAGGGAACAGCCTTTGCAAAGAAAGGTCCAGGGAGGAAAGCTTGGGTTGGGAGCGGTTGGACGGAGGCATGTCTGGAGATGTCAGCAGGGGCTGGAGTGCTGAAAGTTCCACGCCTAGGGAGCCATGGCAAGATTTGAAGCGTGGCCAGCCCTGTTTTGGAAGGCTGTCTCTGGCTGCCGTGTGGAAGGCCTGGGGGCAGGAAGCACAGAGAGGAGGTGGTGGCTGGACCTTGGTCAAAGCAGAGGAGAGGATGGAGGAACCTGCCCTAGCCTGGCGCCCCAGAACACCGCCGTTCAGGGCCTGGACACCAGAGGGCGCTGTGGGGCAGCTAGTCGTGGAGACCCCTGCTTGGAGACAGGGCCACTCACACCCTGAGCCCAGCTGTGCATGCCAGCTGTGTCTGTTGGATGTGCCAGTACCTGTGTGGCCATTTATGTGCATGTACACACGTTTGCACCCTGTTTGCGTTCGTGTGTGCATGCATATTTGGGGGTGTGTGGGTTTGCACAGGAGTTAAAGGGACATGTGGGGTTGCTGATTATGCAGGAAGGTGTGAGTGAGCATGCCTGAAGGGTGCATATAGGTGAGAACAGACACCCCTCACGTCCCAACACCCCAGCCACATTAGTCTGTCTGTGACTCCCCTGTAAGCCATCCACCTCGGGGACTTTGCACATGCTGTTCTCTCTGCCTGGAATACTTTTCCCCAAGATACCCTTGTGACTTCTTCCCTTACATGCTCAGGTCTCTGCTTACATGTCACCTTCCAGAGAGGCTTTTCCTGGCCTCCCTCTTACAGCCCGCACTTCCAGACACACTCCCCATTCCCTCACACTTGTCATAGTTTAACTTGGACATTTTGCTCGTCTGGTTCACCCACCAGGTCATCACCTCCCCTGTCTGTCTTGTTCAGTGTTGTACCCTCAGTGCCTGGCATACGTAAATGCTCAATGACTATTTGTTGAATGAATGAATGAATGAGCTGCCCCATCCTGGGTTTGGATCATCCTCTCTCTCCAGTCCTCTGTCACCCCAGGTCCTGCCCATCTCAGCTCACTTTGGTATCCTGATTTTGGCCACACTCCTTCCAATCTTGAGCCTCAGTTTTCCTGCATCTGCAGAGAGAGAGAGGTTTGGGACTTTTCTCCTACTAGTCATGGTAGGAAGCAGCTGCCTGTGACCCATGTCAAATGCCCCTTCTGGTTTCTGAGCAGTCACAGAGTTCCTCAGCCTGACTATGCCACTTGAGACAGAAGGAGACCAGGACATGTCACTGCAGCAAGCCAGCAAGAGACACAAATCTGCTGGTTCTGCAGCAGTACTTCTTATACCCCGTGGGGTAGCTCTGGCCCTCGCGGAGCCCTCTTTTGTGGCCCTTTTTATACCCTAACCCTTCACCTCTGCTGTTCCTTTCCAGGGTGCTCTTTCTTCTTTTGCCTGACAAGCTCCTACTGATTCCTAAAGGTCCAGTCTCAAAGTCACCTCTTCCAAGAAGACTTCCCTGACCCCACCCACGTGGAGATGCCCGCCCTGCCCACGCACCTCCTGGGACTTTTGCTCATGCATCTATTTATAGCACCCACATGGGGTTTTGTGATTCTCGGGTTGTTTATCAGGCTCCTGACTAATCCGTGAACTCCTCGGATGTGATGCGAGGGCCTGTCTGAGTCATCTGGCCACCTAAGAGGCTGGAATGGGACTGGAGTCACTTCATGCAGGAACTGTGGCATGCATTCCTCCTTCCTTTGGTCATTCCTCAAACATTTGTCAGGAACTACTGGGTGCCCAGCTCTGGACTATGCAATGGGAAGGCAGCTGGGATTGAGATGGGCAGACAGTCTGGGGGGAGGGCTGCATTAAAAATGGTCAGTAACAAAGGCACTGGTGGTGTGAGTGTTGTATCCTGAATTAAGGCTGTCTGGGGCCCATGACTGGAAGGCCTCTTAGGGGAGTTCATCTTTGAGTAGGTCTGAGGCCTGAGAGGGAACCAGCCCCAGGAAACTTGAGGGACAGGGATGTTCCAGGCATAGAGCACGGCAAGGGCAAAGGCCCTGAGGAAGGACGGGCATTGGCTGCTCCTCTTTGAAAGGCAGCACTAAGACCCTTGAACATACCAAGGAGCAGAGTGGACAAGGCAGAGTGTGGGAGGAGCAGAAGTTGGAGTGATCAGCAGGACCTGAACCCAGAAAACCCACTGGACCAGGCTTGCGGTTCTGGTAGAGCAGTAGCCGCTGCTGGGCTCCCATTTACAGATGAATAAGCACAGGCCACTGGGGCAGTACAGTGGGATAGAGACGGCCCATAGTGTTTAGGAGCTCACATTTCCTGGGCACCTAGTGTGTGCCAGGCTCTTGGCCAGGCGCTTCCAAGCCTGAGCTTGTGAGTGCTTTCAGAGGTCTCATATCCCCATGAGGCTCAGGGACTTCTCCAAGGTCATCCAGCTAGTAAGAGCTGGCATTTGAACCCATACCTGCCTGAGATGCAGACTCATGATTTTTCATCCCACTGCCTGGAAAGGATGAGCAAGAGACACAGGAAGAGAATGATGATAATTATAAGGGCTTCTGCTCTTATCTCATCTGGTCTTCCCCACAGCTGTGTGGGAGGGACCCCTGGGATCATCTCCATTTTACACATGGACAGACAGAGGTCAGCCCCCTGATTCCAGCAGGTAGTGAATCTGCTTCCCGCACGTGAGGTCCCTGACAGCGCACATGCTCATGCCTGCCTGGAGGCCAGGGGCTGACCTCTTGACCTTGCTCAGTGCTCCCTATCCTTACTAACCAGGGCTTCGCATCCAGAGTCATTGGATCCTAGCACCAGATTGAAATTACCTGAGGCTCCATGTGGGAGCAGAGGGAGGATTGGCCCACCCAGCCATTATACAGATGAGCAAACTGAGTTCCCGAGAGGCGAGGAGAGAATCGAGACCCAGGACGGGACCTCGAGGTTTCCAGAAGGGAGTAAACTGCGTTGAGCCACCTCACCCCCCTGAGCCTCAGTTTTCCCTGTGTACAACAGGGGCAGCAACGACCTATGAGAGAGCTACTCGTGCTGACTTGCCACCAGGTATCACCACGTTCACCAGCGAATCCGCCTGGCACGCGGCAGGCGCTCGGTGGAAGTTTGCTGACGCAGGGCACACAAGCCGGTCGGTCAACAAACGCGCACGAGCGTCCTCATCGGCGGCTCCGGGAAGCGGTGTTATCGCCGCTCCTGCACAGAAACTGAGGCTCAGGGAGTCACCGGCTTGCCCAAGGTCAACACCGTTACAAAGCTGCCCAGTCGGATCTGACCCTGGGTCTCACCCCAGGAGGGCACTCCCAACTCCGCCGTAGCACCCATTCTGCCGCCGCGCCTGCCTCCCACCGGGCCATTCTTGGGGATCTCGGGGTTTTTCCAGATGACGCACCGGGACGCGCGCCCGCAGCGCATCCGCTGGGGGCTGCGCCTTCCAGGGGTGCGCGGGGGCGGGGCCTGATGCCTGATAGGAGGAGGCGGGACTTGTGTGTTGACAGGCAGAGGGACGCGGCTCCAGCCGAGGAGGGGCGGAACCTAACTGGGCCTGGGTTTCCCGGGCGGCGGGCGGGCTTGACGGGCAGTGGGCGGGGCTGGATCCTGGGCCCACGGAAGGCGGGGCTTATGCTTGACAGGCAGGGTGAGGCCGGTGTCTGATAGGCAGGGGACGGGCCTTGGAGACGATCT